GTTCCACAGACCCTTTGGCTTTATATGTTTCAACATAGAGTCTCCTATTATCAATGTTTCTTTAAATATTTGTTTCTGGATTTCCGTTGGAGTATGAGACTCATCATGGATTGTTTGGGTTTTATTTCTGGTTGTGTCTTCAGCTTTTGACTCATCTTCTTGATTGCCGGCATGGTTATCATTATCATCTTCAATTTCAAGAGCTCTAAAGCGATTGAATGTACTTATGGTGGGCACAGCTTTTATATCGCTTAACGGAGTGGATGCTTGAATTACTTCAGTTGAGTTTAATTCTTGTTCAAATGAAGTTAAATTTCCTTGCATTCTTGAAACAAGCATATTTATAACTGATTCCAATTTTGAGATTCTTTCTTCCAATGAAGATGGTTTGTGTTTCAGCATTTTTAAATGTAGGGTTGATTTCTAGTTGTTGTGTCTGATTGATAGATTCATTGTTTCCACTGTGATTTGTATCAAATAATAGCAAGTTATAGTTCTTTATACAGTTGTTGATTTCTTCATCAGTAAAACCATAGAAACTGTTCAAGTAAGAAGAGTCATTGATGTTTTTTCCTAGGTTACATCCTAGGCCAATTTTAAAATTCACCATTTCCAAATTTTGGCTAGCAGTTTGGCTTGGTGAAATCAGTTTACTCCTTTCACTATTCAGCTGTTATGTAACACTGGGCTTAGCTTCCTAGCCCTGATAAACAGTTTAAACAATGGGTTAACTAATTGCTTGGCTTTCCTTAGATTAAGTGTGAAGCAAGCTCTTGAAAACGTGGTAGCAGCCTAGAAATAATGTCTATAAAAACACCAAAAACTACAAAAATACCTTGTATTTTTCCAAAAGAAAAGCAAATTTAGATTCTTCCAAACTTCTTCTTCATATCACAAGAAGGTAACCAGATTATGTAGTACTTAACATATTACATCAATTAACCCAAAAATAGACACATATCAGACATGTCAACCCTGTTGACACAGCTTTTCAATTCATGGCTATTTCTTTGTAATATTTATTGTACTACACTCACCATAACAGAAAATATTATATTAAAACATTTAACACACAAATTTATAGAAGTACATCATTAGTTATTTTCATACAATTTATTTTCCGAAAATAATATGTTGAGTTGGTATCAATATATTTTACTAGTTGAGAAGCTCATTTTGCTAGTTACATTTTTAACAACTAGCACATTTTAGCGAATTAGCAATAGGTTGCTAGTGGCTGAAAAAGTAAATTTCTAGCCCTGGGACTGTACATCATTGCTATTACCACTGATAACTCACGTCGCATGAATGGCGCGGTCGGATAAGCATGCGTTCTAAAGAACGCCACTGGGATGCAACTCAATGTCAATATAAATGTCACCATATGTAAGTGTGCTTTATGAAAAGAGTACCCAAAATTGATCTCACTATACAGAACAAAGTTATGTCTAAAAGTAGATTGTGTCAAAATTCTAGGCATAAGTGAAAACCTTAAATGGGATAAGCATGTTGATAATTTAGCACATAGGGTTAACGGCGAACTGTGTATGTTAAAAATCTTTCGAAAGTTGAACTTTCCACGATTTAAAGGTTATTAGAATATGTTGCTCCTGTTTGGAATGCTGGGTTGACCTTAGGACATACAAAAAACTTTATAAAGATTACAAAAAAGATCTCTAACAACTACATTAACTATAATGAAGCTTGTCTCAGATGTAACGTTGAGCCCCTTTCTGAATATAATATTTGACAAGGGGGGAATGGTCCATTGTATCATCCACCCCAATATTTTGACTATGTATGGGATAAAATTAAACTTTACACACTTCAAAAAGACTGTCACAGAAATAATTTGCAATGTCTTATGCGCCTACATAGATGAAAATTAGCATAATGTATTAATGTTGATAACAAAATTATTTTAATCTAAGCTCTTATTTCCTTAGGTGTTAGATGTGTTTGCAAAGCAAGCCACATTTTCACACTGAAAGGTGTGTACGACATCAGTAATAAAGTATAATACATACTCCAAGTTGAAATACACGCCATCGTGTTGGGATTCAATATTTCGACATTAATTATGTCATCATCAGGAATTCCTTATGATGACATAATTAATGTTGAAATATTGAATCCCAACACGATGGCGTGTATTTCAATACTTGGAGTATGTATTATACTTTCTTATCTGAGATTAATCAGTGGACCTTTCGACATCAGTAATTTTATGTCAATTCCAAGAATTTTTACTAATCCAATCCAGCTTTGTATGTTTCTGCCCCAAACCAAGGCAAAAACACTTGGTGCTGCATCAACCGGGTAAAAGTATACGTCAACAGACGTCAGGGCCCTCTTTCCAGAGGTGTTATCACTCCTTAAGTTAATGCTGGTCTGTCCAGTTACCTCATGCGAGTGTGAAGGCAACTTCTCAACATTAAGGCAACTCAAGACCTGGTTGAGAAACAACATGACGCAAAGGAGGCTAAACTATTGTGCGCTGGCCAACATCCACAAGTCAAGTTTTGATCAATTCCGATGAAATTAGAACTAAAAACACAAATTTTTTGCGTGCATTTTTCTGGGCTTTATAGCGTTAGCTTTCTAAGTTATTTAAACACATAATAGTCCCAGACCCAAGAAAAAAAAATTTAAAATAGGCGTAGATCGTTTTTCAAAAGAAGGACCTCAATGTTTAATGATGGTGAAAGAATATGTTTGTAATAAATAAAGCCATAATGAAAATGCTTTTATTCAGTTTCAAAAAAACATGTGTGGCCATACAATATATAACATACAGCCCTAAACGCAAAAAAAAAATTTGCGTGCTTCGCTCGCATTTTTGAGGGTGAGAATTTGTGCTTGTCCTCCTTTCCTTCTAAGTTATTTGAACAGTCCCAACTTAAATAGAAAAAACATTTAAGATAGATCCCTTTACCTAAAAAATTATTACCTTTGCTCCCCCCCCCCGACCTAAGACCCCTGTTATGCGCCTGCATGGTGGGTCTGAGGTGGTATAGAATCTGTGAAAGTCTCTCCCTAGCCTCAATTTCTGGATGCATATTATATCATTTATTCGTCATTAAAAAAATTAAAAATAACAATGCACACCTAAAATCCCACGATGGAATTGATGACCAGGACCCAAAAAAGGGCCCCAAGTTTCAGAAATACACAGGGCCTCCGGTCCCATCATTACGCCACCGACTAAGAGGTTTATCGTTCATGGGAGAATGTAGGCCTGTTTATTATAAAAGTGTAAAAATGAAGAAAGTCAATAAAATACTATAAAATATTAACTTATTCTTCCACTTCTCTTTTTGATGCACATCAATCACTCCCTCATGGCATTCAACAAGCGTTGTGTATATCTCACAGATATAGATATGCCATATTTTTAATTGTAATATTTTATTTTCATTTTGATCAAAATTTCAAAAAAGTAGTCATCAAATTGCACCAATTTATTTTGCAAAAACAAGGTTTCCAGCTTCAGAGGGGGCACATCCCCTGTCGGCACAAGCGCACACGTTGGTGCTTAACACGCCAATCATCCCCTCCAATGAAAAATACTTTTCTACGTCACTGGTGGGACCATGTGAGCGGTCGCTCTTGTTTTGTATTCAGAAGGCAATATGATGACGTCACAATGTGCGATCAGCCATAGTGAGCTATAAAATCATATCTACAACTCATGTGTGTAAGAAATATTGGGGGTCACCTTTCATTCAAAGGAGATATAACTTATTTAAAATAGGCATGATTTTGAGCATTTAAAAGAGTTAATGCATGAGTACGCTCACGTTATGATGCACACACGGAAAATTAAGGCACATGACATTCATACTTGCAGGGCTGAAAATTAACCTCTAAACCCAAGTAGCCGCAGGGCCACTGTAAATACACGCCACTGGCCCTGGTCAAAATCAGGTCATCCTGGCTTTTTTCAGCATAACATTACAAAATCAAGTACTGTACAAACATAACTTTATATATACCTTCAATCTTGTATATTCGGTCTAGAAATGAATTTTACCTCTGCTGTATGGCATTGTATCTCTAGAAATTCTGCTTTAACATGGTAAATGAACAACTTTCATGATCTACTGTACTGTAACAACACTACAACAGAGTAATAATATACTGAATAGTGTGATAGTGAAACACATATTTACAGCTACTTTTATGCGACAATATATACTTATTTTAAAAAATTTGAATAATTAATGAATGTAGTTTAATAGTCTATAATTTAAGTCGATCCATAGATGAAAAAACTTTTTCAGCCAGGGACGATCACCACTGCCACCAGGAAAGCTCGACAGTACATCCATCATATTTTGATTCGTTCTCATACCTTCGTTGTGTAGACAATGTTTTTTCATTTGTTTTGTTTTTTTAGTTGGTGGTGCCAAACAGTTTTCCAAATATCTCCACATTCCAGGACCTTGACAGTCCAAATGAATATTTCGGCCTTTCTGCACACGTGAACGAAAATCGATCACTGATGAAAAGTTTTAAGTTTGTGTCACGTCATCATTCGTCCCCTACCTTACGTCACTGTAAGGGAATGCCTAAATGCCGATTAAGAAAACAACAACAGGTGCGGGGAGCAATTATAGTATAAGCCTAGTAGTGCCGTCGGGGTCCCACCTGAACTCTAGGGCCTAGGCCTAGAGTGTAATCGCAAATGAAGCCATAATAGAAGACCTTAGGATGATTCTTTTAAGAAGAATTCGTGAAAATATTAGGCAGTAAAAGAGAAAAATTACAAGAAAGCGCATTCTCAGAATCCACAGTATAACTTTTGTTGTAGAAATCAATTATTTTAGGGATTTTTTTTCTTGGTCGCCAAACAGGGCGATGTTTACAAAAATGTCTGTCGCCCCAAGCAATTGTAGTTGCCACTGGCTATCTGACGACCATTAATTTCTAGCTGTGTCCTTGATCTGAAGTTTTATGCCCATTAAATATGATTAGCAATATTAATTGGTTATGATGGTATGGGATCATCAAAGCCTGGAGAAAAGAAAGATGAGGAGGAGAGGGGGAAGTTGGTTAGAAAAATCATTTATTTTGACCATGATGACATCATCAAAATGTTAAATTTTTAAAGAGAATGGTCTCAAATACTCAAAGTTATGAGACGATCGATCAAAGATAAGTGAGATACACTCAAATGAGTATTTTAACAAATGACATCATAGATGAAAGATTAAAAATAAAAGTTTTTTTTATTTCAGATGGCAATGTGATGACGTCACAATGTCCAATCAGCCATTATGATCTATAAAGTCATATCTACAAATCATTTGCTTTAAGAATAAGTAATAAAAATTGGGGGTCATCTTTCATCCTAAGGAGCTATAACTGATTGAAAATAGGCATGATTTTGGCAAATTTTCGTGAAGCGGATCATCAAAAATATTTATTATTTAGAGGCTCAAGGAGCTCAATATGATCCATAGTGAAATGGATTGAACAAGGAGAAAGAAATAATAAGTACTTCTTTGGTCACGAGAAAAGTAGCAAAGCAAAAAGATAAAATGAAATTTTAAAGATCTGATGAATTGTACACGTCTACTACAAACAGCTGAAACACTGGAGAACAAGTTAACTTACTCCAATCTGTACCAGATACCATAAGAGATATGTGATTACAAAGGAAAAGTGCTCACTTATTAAATATTTTATCCATGTTTCTGTAATATGTAGGATGGGGCAACAGCATTGTACACAAGTGCTTTCAGTGGACATACTGATATTTGTAGACTTCTCATTCAATCTGGAGCCAACAAGGATATTCAAAGGAAAGTAAGTGCAATGCTGTTACATTTTTGTTTCTGGTCTATTAAATTTTATGTAGTAAATCCGATATATCATTAATGCTAATTGATGAAGTTGTATATATATATATTTTTTTTCTCTTCTAATAAACTATATGTTGACATACTTTTTATTATTATATATGTTCCCCACTTGCACCAGTTACCATAAGATAGATACCATGTTGAATAGGGCAATGACATCTTTTATAAAGATAGGATGAAGAGATAATAAAAGATCATCTCTCTTAGTTTATGTCATTTATACACAGTTCTAGGATGCTTAGCCTATGATGAACGATTGGTCTTTCGAATGCAGGATAATTAGAAAATAAATGATGTACCCAATCTGTACCAGATACCATAAGAGTGATATGTGATTACAAAGGAAAATCGCTCACTTATTAAACATTTTTATTCATATTTCTATAATATGTAGGATGGGGCAACAGCATTGCACGCAAGTGCTTTCAATGGTCATAATGATATTTGTAGGCTTCTCATTCAATCAGGAGCCAACAAGGATATTCAGGAAAATGTAAGTGTGATGTTACATTTTTGTTCCTGGTCTATTAAATTTTATGAATTAAATCTGATGTATTTTGTATGCTAATTGGTTAAGTTGTATATTTTTTCAGGATCCATAATCTAATATACTTTATATGTTGACACAATATATTTTTTTATAACCACCCGATCTGTACCAGATACCATAAGAGTGATATGTGATTATAAAACAAAAGTGCTCACTTATCCAACATTTTTATCCCTTATTAGTATAAATGTAGAATGGCGCAGCGACATTGTGTATATATATATACATACATACTTACACACATACATACATATATACATACATAGGCCTACACATACACACATACATACATTCATACTGACTTTCATATGCAGAAGCCATATTCACAGGCATTCTGTCTGTTGCTGTCGTCAAGAACAGACGTGTTTTAATAACGCTCCTACTAAGCCCAGGGTTGTTTTATCGTGAAGGTGTGCTTAGAAGTATCGTTCAATCTTCCCGCCATTAGGTTCCATATCAAAAGCCACCCGCCTTGCAGTTTAGTACATTATACCATACCCTGTTTGATTTTGTGCGTCTTTTAAGTGAGTTTTATATGATGTATCTTATATGCTAATTGATTAAGTCATATATGTTTTAGTATCCATATTTTAATTTACTTTATATGTTGACATACGATATATTTATATATATATACCCCATGGTATATAAAACAAATGTGCTCACTTATCCTCCAACATTTTAATCTATACAGTATTAGTATAATTTGTAGTGTGGGGCAATGACATTGTGTGTGTGTATATATATTATATACACAATATATAACGACAAATCTGCGTCCAGACGCGTTTTCTATTGTTCTACCAAAAACGTGTCTGAAAACACTGTTTGGATAGGGCACTGTTTGGACGCCAATTTTCCGTTTGGGCTTTGCTCCTCCCCTTTTAATACGGCCGAGTGCATGCATCGTCAAACGCGTCTAGACGCTCTCTTGGTGTCCGAACGTTTACCCGCTCTGCGAACGTCTTGCATACAAGTGTTTACCCGCTTTGCGAACGTCTTGCATACAAGTTTAAATCTACCGCAAAGGCCGGTAAAATCATTAAGCCTGGTCATACAACTATATCGGAAACATTTAGACAACACCATTTGCTGCAAATTTAAAGAACGTCGCTAACACAGAAGGCCTACTTACATCATCTTGTCTGATATTTTTTTCACTCTGATCTCCGTTTTTGGCTCTCTAAGAATTTTTATACAGTTCAACACTCTATTTTTAGTATATGACCTCCCTTGACTATAAATAGACTGGTTGTGAATGCAAAATTCTCAACTGTCTATTTTTAGTATATGACCCGGCACTATAAATAGACTGGTTGTGAATGCAACATTCTCAACTTTCTATTTTTAGTGACAGACCCGGCACTATAAGTAGACTGGTTGTGAATGCAACATTCTCAACTGTCTATTTTTAGTGACTGACCTGGACTGTTTTAGATGCGCACATTCAAACACTTTCACGCTTCAAATAAATCATAATAATGCAAAGTACAAATAAAAGGAAACACTTTTTTTGGTATTAGAACATAGTTTAATTTGAAAAAAAATTTGAATTAAATTACAGTATGTACAAATTTTTTACACAATAAACACGTGATTACATACGACTCGGTTTTTTGTTGAAGCGATGAGCATGGCACTTGCCGTTTACCGCCTCCTTTAGGGCCCTTTCACACCTAGAAGTTGACCCTGGAAACTCAATTTCCACCTGCCTAAATATTGCCATCATCCTATTGGGGGAGAGAGGCTCACGCTCTATCTTCTCCCCCTGCACTACAACGGCTGTGCCGTTTAAATTGCATCGGCTAAGTTCCTCTGCACTGAACATGCAGTCAACCAACTGCCTAATGACGTTGCAGTCGTACTGCCGGCCAACGACGCTAAGGGGACACATACCCCCGATCATTACAATGCCACCTGCATTCGGTACTAGCTTCGGTGTTGGTGCAAGAAGCAGCGACGATACTGGTTTCGGCGCTGGCGGTTGTGGTGCGGCTGACTGTTTAGTCGACCTTGCCAATAATTGCTCTACTTTTCTTGTCTGGCTATCATCTCCATGTACATAGTTTCCTGCCTTACAATTAGCTCCTCGCAAAACTTCTGTTGTCTGGCTACAATAACCTCTAGTTGATTGCATTTGCAGTCACTACGAGCTGTTAATAAGATAAAATGAGATATAACATACATGATAAATACAGGATAAAATGATAATAATATTGATAATAAATTTATAAATAAACATACGATTTACTGTAATAATAATAATAATAATAATAAAAATAATAATAATATACGAATTAATAACAATAGTAATAAACATACGAATTACTGTAATAATAATAATAATAATAATAATAATAATAATATACGAATATTTTGCATCTTTTGTACAGTATTAAGACTCATTTTGCCACGACAGCTCACAAATGAAAGGCAATGCTTGTGTAGATTTTAATACAACTTAAAAGTAAACTTGCGATAAACCGCCGTGTTGTCCAGCAGAGTGCCAATGGTTTGATCAACAAATTCTTGGATGCTGTCATCGGGGTTGGAAGTCTGGATACTTTCCGCTCCTTTTCTGGGTCTCTTTGGAGGTGGCTGTGGTGGTTCATCAACGTCATCTTCCATGTCACCTGTTTGGTCTACAAGCTTCTCGGTAGATTGCAATTCTGATGTGTCTGATTTACCATCTGTTTCAAAATAAACATAAATAATAATTATTGATATAAATATAGGTCTAGTAATAAAAAAAAATAAATTGAAAATAGATTTTAATAAAAGAAAAAAAAATCTTACCAAGTCCACCATTCTTCCAAAACTGTTCATCCAATGCGATCAACTCGGCAGGATCATCAGACAGACCCAAGATGCGGCACTTGAACTTCTTCCCATCACAAACAATATCAACTATGTTATCAATCACAACATCACCATGCAATTTCTTCGATTTAACTACGGTAGTACTTTCTTCGAAATCCTTTGGAGTGCGATGACGGCGAGACATTACGGGAACTTTAGTAAACAGCAGTAGTATCAGTATCAAAACGATCTGGGATATGATGGATGTTTAATTTCGAACCAGTTTATATAACTGGATGCCGCTTTGATCATTTTCCCTTTGTTTAATTTTAGCATCAGTCCCCATTGTTGCAGGGTTTTCAGCTAAACGCACCACTCGCCTACCGATGCACAAAAGGATTGGCATTTCTATAGGCCCACTGGTGAAAGAACGCCGTAAAACAATGAAAAAAGCGCTTTTATATTTAAAGGCAATTAGCGGACGGTATACAAATATTAATTTTTAACTTATTATGGCCTTCTAAAAGGTTGTGTGGTTAAACCAATCAAAATCCAAACTTTTTTTCGGTGACATCCACCTACAATTTTTATAAACCACAAATTTGTACCTCTAAACATCATTCTTCCGAGAGCTGACTTATCATTAAGATTATTTTGAAATGCTGCAACCTGACATCACATCCAAATTGGCTTCAGGTAGTTACTTGCGCAAAAAGAAACCAAAACCTGTATCATCTCGAGCCGCTGGTAGACCATCAGTTGTATCCGAGTTTCCACAAGTTGTAGATGTCGCGAAAAATTTTGTACAAAATA